TTCAAGATTTTGTTTTAAAATAAAGCTTAGGACGCCTGGTTATGAGTTATGAGGAAAACAGTTTTCTTTATTTACGGTTACCAAAAAGATAGAGATCCTTGTCATCAGTTGATGCTTGTTGATATGATATGTAACTCTTGTAGCTTTTCTGAGAAATTCACGTTGATTGCATTACCCGGTTCGTTTCTTTGTTTACATTTGAATAATGTAATTTCGTTAAGGATTTTCAATTCAGCAAGAAATATCATTTCAGCAGAATGCAGACATTTTTGCCTTTTTGGTATATCCCCTTTTCATTGATTAATTGTTGTTCTAGTTTGCTATTGCCATTCCAGCATCTGAAATGACGATTTTCTTCTTTTTTCCAGGATTGGTGGAACAGATGGCAGTTTCATATCCTAACTGCATTCAATTTCCGAAAATTTCTTCCAAACGCCATCCTTTTAACTCTACCGGGGGGCTCAGTTGCTGGGCGTCCCCTGTATTTTCTTGTCTTAAAAATTCAGATCCAAATTTGAGCACAGGAGCCAAGGTACATTCATTAATTTTCACTCATTATATATTTTTATATGGATTCCCTTATTGTTTTACAGTGTGAACTTCACTTGCCTTGCATTTTTTATTTTTATTTTTATTTTTTGTTTTGGTTCTGCATTTATTGAATAACTCTGCGGTTGGTGTAATATATCAATATATCTGGTCAATTTGAAACATATATTACCTTATTAAATATTACCAATGATAATTTTGTGCGTTTACTTCACATAGTTTATGGTGGAATAATTGAGAACTCTTCAAATTAACATGCTCCATCATTGTGTTAAACTTTGAAATCTTGCAGAATAAACATGGGTTAAGCAGATTATAAAAAATTTTGTTTTATTGTTCTTAATAGTTATAATAATAATAACGTTTCATACATGTTGTGTTAGTTTGTCTTCATTTTTTGTTGATTTCAGATAATTCCAGTATGTTGGGCCTTGAGTATGCAAGAAAGGTATAAAGTACTTGTATAAACATCTACTTTGAATTGACCTGTACCCGAGATTACATGTATATGCTTAGTATACTATTCATCTATTTTATTTTAGTCTGAAATTCCAGACATTAGTCAGGTGTTTACCACTTTGTATGGTTAATGCTGTTACATGTCTGGAAAACAAAAGACAGAGAAGAAGAGATGACTGATGGGTTTCTGTTGGTCATTTTGATAGCTCTTGAAGGTGTCCATCGTTGCTCAATAGTTTTTTGTCTAATTATTTGAGCTACATCTGGACTTCATATTCCCATTTTTCTTGTGATAAGGAAATAACTTCTATATTATGGGGGAGAATTGTTAATAAATTTTTTTTTTT